CGCCGCGTTGCCCGGGGGTGGCTGAGGGGGATGGCGGGGGGCAGGTGGGGACGGTGGCCCCCGGCCGGGGTGGTGACGCAGGGCTGGGTGCCAGTGCTGCAGCCGCTCCATGTCGCAGTTTCCTCATTAATGACCGAAGACGGGGTCTGAGGGGCCGGGAGGCCGTGGCACAGCACCGGCAAGGCTCCGGCACGGCCGTGGCGCAGGGGCTCCTTGCTCCCCCCCTCGGCACCGTGTGCCAGCCCGGTCGCGCCGCCGCATGCGCTGCATTTTAAAAAGTAGGTGTCAAAGTTAAAACAGATTTTGAGATTAACTCGTCTGCTCCTCGTTAGCCACACTTGTGCCGGGGTGGCCGGGGGGACACACACGTGTGCATGTCCGGCAAGAGGAGCGGGATGCGGAGAACCCCAGATCCTGTGGAATTACCCTAGAGTGGTTTCATCTGTTCGTTAGCGATTAGCTGGATCCATGCGGAGACGCTGCTGCGCACTGGGGCCCGGGGAGACGGGCAGCCTGAGCAGCCGCGCGGCGCGATCCGGGCAGCTGCCGCGAGCCCTGGTCACCGCCGGTAAATGCGGTGATTGCCCCAAATTGGTGGGGTGCGGGGGGGTCTCAGCACCCCGAGCTGCAGGGTTTGCCTCCCGTCCCTGCGCCCCCAGAGCTGTCTGACCTGGGGGGTCCAGTGCTGGGGCGGGGGCTGGGGGCAGCGCTGCCGGCAGTGCTGCCACCAGGTTCCGTGGGCCAAGCACTGCATGCGTGGCGGGCTTGGCTGATCCCCAAGGGTGGACTGGGGGTGCGGACAGGCTCCATGGAGCATTTGGGTGCCCCTCTGGGCACCCCTGGCTCCTCGGGACCCCCCGGCCCGGAGTGTCCGTGTCCTCCCTGCAGCCAGTTCCTCTCCCGGCGCTGATGGCAGCGATACACGACAGCCGAGCGGGGAATTACGGCGGAAAATAAAAATAGCAGGATTTGGCGATTCAGTGACTCTGCAGAGATTCACACGGGCTGCGTGCCCCCCCGCCCCCTCCCGCGGTAAATAAACACTCACCCAATAATCTCATTCTTGGAGTTCTTCTTTATCCGCTCCATAAAACGAAACAGATGGGCACAGCGCGGCCCTGCCTGCTGCCCTGCCTGCTTCCCTGCCTGCTTCCCTGCCTGCTGCCCTGCCTGCTGCCCTGCCTGCTTCTCTGCCTGCTGCCCTGCCTGCCCCCCAGCATCGCCCCAAGGCAGGATCCGACCCCACTGGGTGCTGGGGTCCCCCAGCCCCGGGGGGAGGGAGGGGACGAGTCCTCGCAGCCCCTCAGGGTGCTCCCTCCCGCTTAGTGCACAGGCGGCCCAGGACCCTGCGGGTGCAACGCTTTGCAGGCGGTCATGGGGGAGATGGGGTCACTGTGGACCACAAATTTGGGAGGGATTCCCTGGGGGGAGTCATGTGCTTGGCCTCTGTGGGACACCAGAGCTGCGTGGGGTGGGACATTGGGACCCCCTGGGCCCTCCCTGGCTTCCCCGTGGCCCCGGCCTGTGCCGGGCCTGCAGCTGCTCCCAAAATGGCCTCTGGGCTTTGCAAGCGGCATGCGTCTGGTGTGCAAGTCATGCATTGGACGTGCAAGTCGTGTGTGCTGGCCGTGCGGCGTGCGCCAAGCAGCATGCGTCAGTCATGCGAGGAGCATGCATGGAGCACGCTTGTGTCAGCCGCGTGCATCCGCCATGCAAGGAGCAGGCACCGACCCGCGTGAACTGACCGTGCAGGCAGCGTGCACCGTCCTCGTGAGCAACGTGCGAGCTGCGTGTATCAGCCACGCAAGCCTCGTGCAAGCAGCGTGCACCGAGCGGTGTGTGCACACGCAGCCCCGGTGCAGTGTGCAGCCCCAGCGAGCATGCAAGCGTGCAGCAGCGCGCAGCCTCTCGGCGGCTCCAGCCTCCCCTTCCCTCCGTCGAAAGCCGACAGCTTGCGAGTGGCACTTAGCACGGAGCAACTGCCGTGTGATTACCCATCGGATAACATTTTAATTGTACTTCTGGCACTCTGTCAAGCTAATTTGAACTGCATTTCAATATTACAGCATTTATTTAGTGCCATAACAATATGGATTAATCTTAAATTATAACACCGAGGAAATTATATTACACTTATTTCCTATTTGCCAAATATTTAAAGGAGCCGCAGGGGTTGCAAAGCGTGTGGTGGGATGGGGGCCGCATCCTGCGCCCTCCTGGGTCCAGGACTGGGGGTGGCACCTCCCCGGGGTGCCCGGCTGTGGGGACGCGGTGCGGGAGGCTCCCTGCCAGCTCCCGGCGTCTCCGCGTGCGGCCCCAGCCCTGCTAGGAATGTTCCAGCCCCGAAATAGCCGAGGGAGTAACCCAACCTCACGCCCCGCGCACGTCGCCGCTGCTGCGGGGACCCGGGGACCGTCACCTCGCCCAGGCGTGCCCGGGGCTCCCTCTGCAAAATGGAGTCCCTAAATATCGGGGTGCAGCCATGTGCCTGGGCTGGGGGGTGCAGCCTCCACCTTCCCAGAGCTGCAGGGAGGGACAGGGCCGGGGCGTCCCGGAGAAGGGGGCCAGAGACCCCCTCCCTTTCCCGGCAGCGCCGCCTTGGGGACCCCGCTGCCAGCCCCCCGGCCCAGAAAATTGCCAGGCCGGAGCAGCCATGGCCGGAGTGACCCCCCCTGGGGCCATGGCCCCCCCACACCCGCCCTGGCCCCACTTGCTGGCAGGGGAAACTTTCCGTCTTCCCAGCATATTCCCATCTGCACCGCGCTTGGTGCGGGGATGAAGAGTGGCTTTGGGGGGGGGGGGCCCCCGCCCCCCCCCCCCCCCTCCCACCCCTAGGAGCCGCAGGGGTTGCAAAGCGTGTGGTGGGATGGGGGCCGCATCCTGCGCCCTCCTGGGTCCAGGACTGGGGGTGGCACCTCCCCGGGGTGCCCGGCTGTGGGGACGCGGTGCGGGAGGCTCCCTGCCAGCTCCCGGCGTCTCCGCGTGCGGCCCCAGCCCTGCTAGGAATGTTCCAGCCCCGAAATAGCCGAGGGAGTAACCCAACCTCACGCCCCGCGCACGTCGCCGCTGCTGCGGGGACCCGGGGACCGTCACCTCGCCCAGGCGTGCCCGGGGCTCCCTCTGCAAAATGGAGTCCCTAAATATCGGGGTGCAGCCATGTGCCTGGGCTGGGGGGTGCAGCCTCCACCTTCCCAGAGCTGCAGGGAGGGACAGGGCCGGGGCGTCCCGGAGAAGGGGGCCAGAGACCCCCTCCCTTTCCCGGCAGCGCCGCCTTGGGGACCCCGCTGCCAGCCCCCCGGCCCAGAAAATTGCCAGGCCGGAGCAGCCATGGCCGGAGTGACCCCCCCTGGGGCCATGGCCCCCCCACACCCGCCCTGGCCCCACTTGCTGGCAGGGGAAACTTTCCGTCTTCCCAGCATATTCCCATCTGCACCGCGCTTGGTGCGGGGGTGAAGAGTGGCTTGGGGGGGGAGCGCCCCTTGCCTCCCCCACCCCATTCCCACCAGTCCCGCATCAGCCCCCGGTGCTGTTGGTGTGGTTGTGCTGAGACCTGGCGTACTTGTCACACATGTGACCCTCTGTGGATTTGGGGCCAAGGCGAAAAGCCCCCCTGGCCCCCCGGGCTGCGGTTTGGTGGTGATGAGGGGGAAGTGGCTTCGCTTCCCTCTTAACCCTTTCCTTTCGCTGCTACCTCCCCCCAGCCCCGTTCGGGGGCTTCTGGGTGCCGGCAGCCCCAAAACCCGCTGGCACGTCCCCACCCCCTGCCCTGCCTCAGTTTCCCTGCCCAGGGTCTGGCTCGGTGTGGGGGAGAGTGTGGCATGACCAGGGCCATGCCGGGGTGGTTGTGGGGTGACCAGGGCCAAGACGGTGCCTGTGTGGCCGTGCCGGAGCTTCCAGAGTTCCCGGTATGGGCCCGAGGTGCAAAGTGCTGCACAGCCGCCGAAAAGCCGCCAGGGCCGGTGTCTGCGGCCGGGGCCACCCTTCCCTCCCCGCTGGCGCCTGGCATGGGGGATTTTCTTGCCGGCCGTGCCTGCGCTGGAGCCGGGAGCGTTGCTGGCAGGGCTGACTCACGGCGCTGGCCGCGGGGAGCCTGGCCAGGGAATTCCCGGGCTGACGCTGCCGGGGGGCGGCGGGGGGGGGCAGGGGGGGCACGTGCTGCGCCGCTGGCGC